AAAAATCACGTTAAATTTTTCAGTTAAAACTATAGGGTTATATTAAACATGACTTTATTTACAGAAGTAAATGTAGATCCTGACATTCAAGTTTAAGATGGCCGCCACGGCCAGTCAACGTCAGAAAGCACAACAAGGGCTTTAACTCAAGTCAGTTTTACAGATATTGAGCTAAAGTTTGTTGCGGTAGTAGCTGAGAGTCATCCCAACACGTCTAGCTAATGGGCAGCGGGCGATATGCATCCATCTGTAATGTGTTTTCTGCCTGACAGGAAGTAGAATGGAAGACTGTGTGGTGCTGCAGGAGTCTGAGGGTGAACCAAAGGCGGCGCTCCCTTCAGACATGTTTTACCAATACGAGGAGCTCCGGTCCAGACCCGTCATCACTCCGGGGTCAGAGATCCCAGAGGACTTTCTGCACCTCTCGTATCAAGGCTCAAGGTTCTTTATTGTCATTCGCATCACATGTGGTACATGAGGTGGAACCAAATTGTGTACACAAGGTTCCAGTTACACCCAAAAATAGCAAAAATATAAAGTATCGAAAGAATCAGTATACATGGATCTAAGATATACTCTACGGTAAACACACGCTAAATGATACAATAAAAGAAGATACACTCTAAACGCTAGTAATGTAAAATAATACGGTATATAAAACAGCAGCTTGAACGTAATTAGCGTAATTAGAGTCTAGTGAGCAGATGGGTATGAATACAACAGCATAAAGGCAAGAGATCAGCAGCATGGATAATCAGCAGCACAGATAAGTCACTTATCACCAATTAAAGTGTCATTACAGTGATTTTTTTTTCTTAACAGTGATTCTCCTGGTTAAAGATTCATGAGTCTAACAGCCTCAGGGTAGAAGCTGTTCCTCAGTCTAGTGGTCCTACACTTAATGCTCCTCAACCTCCTTCCTGAGGGGAGTGGGGCAAAAAGTGTGTGTGCTGGGTGAGTGTGGTCCTTCATGATGCAGGTGGCCCTCTTCCTGCATCTGGAGGTGTAGATGTCTGTGATGGTGGGGAGGCTGACTCCAACATCTTCTGTGCAGCCTTCACCACTCTCTGCAAAGCTTTCCTTTCTGCAGCTGTGCAGCCTCCATGCCACACGTTGATGCTGGAGCACAGGATGCTCTCCACTGCACACCTGTAGAAGGAGGTGAGGACTGAGCTTCCAGACCAGCTCGTCTCAGCCGCATGAGGAAGTAGAGTCTCTGATGATCTTTCTTCATCAGGCTGGTGGTGTTGTTGCTCCAGCTGAGGTTGTTGTTCACGTGTACACCCAAGTTCATTCAACCTTTATTTAGACAGGTAATCCCATTGAGCCGCGAGGACTCATTTACAAGAGAGACCTGATTTCAACAAAGAATGAAGACAACAATGGACAACAAGACAACAATAAACAGTTATAAAAAGTCATACTACAGTTTTTTTTTTTTTTTAACAAATAGGATGACTAAAAGATAAAGGTAACAAAAAAAAACCAGCTAGATTCTAAGGGTTAGGGTTAGAATCTAGCTGTTTTTTGTTGTAAGTACTTGTAGCTGGAGACCACTTCCACCACAGATCCTCCTATGTTTGGGGGGGGGGGGGGGGGGTGGTAGGTGTGTTTTTTCCTTCTGAAGTCCACAATCATCTCCTTTGTCTTCTTCACATTGATGTGAAGGTTGTTCTTCCTGCTCCCTGCAGCTGGACTCATCATTGTTTGTGATGCATCCCACCACCGCTGTATCATCTGCAAACTTTACAATGTGACAGCCTGGATGGGTAGCTGCACAATCATACGTGAGCAGAGTGAACAGGAGGGGGCTCAACACACATCACTGAGGAGAGCCAGTGCTGAGGGTTATGGTGGAGGAGGAGAAGTTATGGATCCTCAAAGACTGAGGTCTGTTAAGTCCAGGACCCAGTTACAAATGGAGGGGCTTAGTCCTAGTGTGAATAGTTTGTCCATCAGGGTTTGGGGGATCATGGTGTTGAAGACAGACATGAAGTCCACAAAGAGCATACGGACTAAGAGTCCTGCTCCAGGTGGGTGAGAGCAGTGTGGACCACAGAGGAGATGGTGTCTTCTGTTGATCGGTTCTCACGGTATGAGTACTGATGAGGGTCCTCGTTGATGTTGATGGTTGTTCTGATGTGGGTCATGACCAGTTTTTAGAAGCATTTAGCGACTATCAGGGTGAGGGCTACTGGTCGATAGTTATTCAGACCAGTCACTGTAGAGCTTTTATGAACTGGGATGATGGTGGTGGTCTTCAGGCAGGTGGGAACTGTTGCCAGGGTGAGTGAGGAGTTAAAGATGTCGGCCAGCACCTCGCAGAGCTGATCGGCACATTCTTTCAGCACCTTCCCCGGGATGTTGTCTGGGCCGGTTGCTTTGTGAGGATTAATCCTCCTGAAGGTCCTCCTTACTTCTGCTGAGGTCATGCTGAGGAACTCCTCTTCAGATGGTGAGGTGAGTCTGGTGCTGGGTGGTCTGTTTGGGTCTTCAGAGCTGGCGTAGAACCTGTTGAGAGCATCAGGCAGTGATGGGTCCCTAGGGCATTGTGCGCCTCTGCTGTTATAGTCTGTGATGCACTTAATCCTCTATCTTGTCCTCGTATCTTCTGGGAAACAGAGACATCTACTTTTATAACAAAATACTTTTACTTTAAAAATAATCAGTAATAAAACTGTCCGAAGAGCTTTTGATCCTTAACTCTTAGATGTGTTCAGTCACTCCTTTGGCTACGACAGCAGGCGAAGGGCCAACCTGCAGCTGCTGGACGACAGGACTTTGATCTACATCGCAGGGAACCTCCTGGTCCTGCTGGACGTCTCCACCAAGGAGCAGAGATTCCTGCGCTCCTGCAGTGGAGGAGGAATCGGAGCCGTTGCAGTAAGAAAACCGTCTCGCATCAGAAGCTGAAACTGAGTTGTTACAGATAAAAGAAGCAGACAGAACACGAGCTAAAGACCAAACAGAGCAAAAGGCTAGCCAAATATATTGAGGTGACACAGCTAGTTACTAAAAGTAGCTAAAAGTTGCAAAAGGCTACCTGAACATTGCAAAAGCTTAGCTAAAAGATAAAAGTATCAAATGGCTAACTAAATGTTAAGAGTAGCAAAGGCTTGTTAAAAGCCAAAGAAACAACAAGCTAGATAAAAGTTAAAAGTAGCTAAAAGCCACTTGAAATTAACAAAAAGCTAGTTAAAAGATAAAAGTAGCAACAGATTAGTTGATGTCTAAAACAAGAAAATGTTTGATAGCAGCTAAAATAAGCAAAAGGCTAGTTAACATAAAAGTAGCAAAAGTCAAACTGAAAGTATCTAAAGGCTAATTGAAATTAGCAATTGGCTAGCTAAACGATAAATAAAAGTAGTACCGTATTTTCTGGCCTATAAGTCACAGTTTTTTGCATGATACATGCCCTGCCACTTATAGGCCGAAGCAACATATTTATGGATTTTATTCTCATATTTATAAACCAATTTTTATCTGAGATTTGACCATTTTCATTCATTCTGACTGGAAAAAATGAACAGTACCATTTTCAGCCTCTAGATGGCAGCAGTGTTGTACCATGCTGTTGTATCGTTTAATAGGTAAACGTGGCTATAATGACAAATTCAAAAAAGTTCAAGACAAAAACAACTGGACTTAATTTATTTTACTTTATACTTTATTGTTTTTGTCTTGAACTTTTTTGAATTTACCATGTCCTGGATGACCGAGAATCTTCACCAGCTTTTAATGACACTTTCCATTTACACCACCTTCGTTCTGCTCGCTGCTCGGAGCAAGTTAAACCAGCTGCCCAGGCGAAATGCAGCTAATTGACCATTAAAGTGCATTTATTAAGTAAAAGTTCAACTGAGACACACCTTTACTATAATTTTGAGCAAACAAATAATTGTTTAGGTGCATTTCTTGTTACAATTTGAAGAAATGAGTAGCGTTCCTCCTTGTTTTTTCCTCTCTCTGCACTCTCCCGAAGCACCAATGCAGCAAAACTATTTTTGAAATTCAGCTGATTTGACCATTAAAGTGTATTTATCAGAAGAGAAGAATCAGAATAAACTTTATTGGAACTGCACCGAGATATAACGCGAATATGTACGTACAGTCGTCCGAAAGATGGGCGGAGTGCACGAAGCTGCAACTACAGGAGAGCGCGGCCATTTTATCCTTATCAGATAATAATCTTAGATAGGAAAAGGGGCAGAAACATGAGGGTAGATAGTGGTATTACAAAAAAAGATCTTTCACATCTTGTCTATCAGGACACGATTTGAGACATCAAAAAAACTCTACCAGCAGCTCAATTAAAACAAGATTACATTTGCATTTGACTTCGAGGTGTTGAGATTTGGTGCAGCACGGTGGCGCAACTGGTAGAGCTGCTGCCTCTCAGTGAGCAGGTCCCTGGTTCAAACCCCGGTCCAGGGGCCTTTCTGGGTGGAGTTTGCATGTTCTCTCCGTGCATGCGTGGGTTTTCTCCGGGTGCTCCGGTTTCCTCCCACAGACCAAAAACATGCATGTTAGGCTGATTGGTAACTCTAAATTGTCCCTAGGTGTGAGTGAGAGAGTGAATGGTTGTTTGTCTCGTTTGTCTCTGTGTGGCCCTGTGATGGACTTGCGACCCGTCCAGGGTGTACCCCGCCCCTCGCACAGTGATTGCTGGACATGAGCACCAGCGACCCCCGTGACCCAAAATGGAATAAACGGGTAAAGATAATGGATGGATGGATGGATGGATGGATGGGTGTTGAGATTTGTCCATTAGCTTTTTTCAGATCAGCCACAGTTTCTGAAGATGTTGTTCCAGCCAGCAGTTCTGATAAGCTTGCACAGAAAGTTCTCGGGGGGGTGGGGGGGGGGGGGGTGCGATAGATGAAGCTTTTGTCCTTTGGTACTCATGTCCCAGGAGAAATTGATAGTCGGCCTGTCTCCGAGGCAGTCGGAAATCTGATTTAGATCAGCTTGATTCTTGTTTTTTCTTCAGGCAGACAGATTTTTTCCTTCAGCCTTGAGTCCATCTGGGCGTTCTGGTCCCGAAAAAGCCTAATTGTGAGATTTAGTTTCACTGATCCACACTATGAGTCTCCTTCAAGGTCGAACCCACCACGCTGACGAGTCCCAGAAGCCGCAGGTGGCCTACGATTCTCAATTACCTCCACCTTACGGTTAAGCTCGTAAACCAGACGATTTAAAGTTCCCACAGCGAGGACCAGACCTTCACACTGACTCGGAAGCTTTTCCATGGCCAAAACTGCTGCCGCCGTTTTCTTCAAAAGTCGATAAAACAGAGCCCCGCCGATGCCAAAAAGCAGAGTCCCTGCTATCATAAGTCCAAATATGTAAACGTCTTCAACATCCTCCTGAGACAGGACTGAGAGGCACATCGTCTGCCACACTCCCCACGAATCCTTGACGTACCCCACAGTGTGAGTGTCAGCTGGACACGCCGGTTCTCCAGGACCTTGTCGCTTTGATGAAAAAATCTTATCAATAGAGTTGAACGGCCACGATACCAAATCCATAATCTTCTTAAATCATGTTCGGGAGATGAGAGCCAGGCGCTTCAGACACACAGAGAGCAGAGCAGAAAGAAGGAAAAACAGGAGAGGAAAGACAGAAGCTGCCACCTCGATGAGAGCCTGGGAGGAAAAAATATATATTAAGGAATAGTTGAACTGAGACACACCTTTGCTATAATTTCAAGCAAACAAATAATTGTTTTAGATGTTTATCTTATTAAATTTGCACAGCGACTTGTCGCGTGCACGCATTTACTTCCCCGTGTCAGCTTTTGAAATGCAGCTGATTTGACAGTTAAAGTCCTTTTATTAAGCAAACGTTAAACCGAGACACACATTCACTATTATTTTGAGCAAATAATTGTTTTTAGGTGTTTATCTTGTTAAATTTGGAAGAAATGCGAGTCTCATTCCTCTGTGTGTGCCCGCCGCTTCTGCAAATCGGGTTTCAAAATGCAGCTGATTTGACCATCAAAGTGCATTTATTAAACAACAGTTAGACTGAGACACACCTTTACTATAATTTAGAGCAAACAAATAATTGTTTTTAAGTGTTAATCTTGTTCAATTCTTGTTAAAGTCCTCCTGTGCACGCTCCTGCAGTTGCCATTTGGAAGCCCATCGATTTTTGGCACAACACCGGCCCACATTTCCGGGTTGTCAATGGTGACGCATAATAGCTGTGACGTACACGGCGAAGCGACATATTTATGGATTTTTCCACTTAATACACATATTTAATATTTAATCATATTAATTTAATACTTAATAGACATATTTGGACTGATGCAACTTATAGGGTGGAAAATATAGTAATAGGCTTGTTAACATAAAAGTAGACAAAGGTGTTGAGAAGATAACTACCATAGTTACAATAGTAGCTAAAGCTACCTAAAAGTATCTAAAGGCTAACTGAAATTGGCAAATGGCTAGCTAAACAATAAAAGCAGCAAAAAGCTAGTTAACATAAAAGTAGCATAAGAAGATTTTTAAGGCAAACAAAGTTACAGAATTGAAAAGCTTTTGTGTATTTCTATGGGAAAATGTAAATAAAGTTTAATATTTTTTAAAGTAACATCAGCCGTCTCCTGAAAGAGCTGAAGTTTTGATTTATAAACTGCTAAAATAACACAAGGTCTGCAGAAGTTAGATTGTTAATTTTACAAAATTAAACAACAAAAAAGCTTGAAATAAAAGAAAATTATTCGAAACATTCAGGAACTGAAAACGTCTTTTTAGGGTTGAAAGGAGTAATTTTCTGCTTCTAAACGTGGATCTGAGGTTTTGAATGTTTTTGTGATTAAAGGTTTGCTGCAGTGGAGATTATTTTGCTGTGGCCGAAAAAGGATTAAAACCCAACATCGTGGTCTACGAGAAGCCTTCGCTGAGACCGCACCGAGTCCTGAGAGGTGACCACGTTTCAGGAGTCCTTTTCAGAGCTTCTGTTGTTTAAACTCATGCTGTCGTCCGTCTGCAGGAGGAGCGAAGCGCAAGTTCTCTTTTGTGGATTTTAACCAGGACGGGAGCCAGCTGGCCAGCCTAGCTGGGGACCCAGACTACACCCTGACCATCTGGAACTGGACCCAGGAGGAGGTGGTCCTGATGTGTAATGCTTTTTCTCAGGAAGTCTACCGAGCCACCTTCTCCCCATACAACCCACAAGTGATGACGTCGTCTGGAGCCGGACACATCAAGTAAACGGAACCGGATCAGAACAAGAGCTCAGATATGACCGTTATCTGTTAACCAGGTGGAGTCTGCTCCTCTGGACGGGTTCTTCTTCTTCAACAAAGAACAATCCGTTCAGAGGAGCAGACTCTCCCACCTGGGTTACTGAGCAGCAGCAGGACTTTAACTGAGAACAAAAAGTTTTTTATTTATTAAATAAAAAAACAAGAAAATGTAAATGTTTGTTGTTTGTATACATTTTGTCAGGTTCTGGAAGGTGTCATCCACGTTCACGGGCCTCAAACTGAAAGGAACCATGGGACGTTTTAAACAAACCCCAACAACTGACATCAAGGGCTACGTGGAACTTCCTGATGACAAGGTTTGAAGATTCACCTTTAAAGACAGGAAGACTTTAAACTGTCTCAAACTGTCCAGAACAAGCCTCTGTTCACATCAAAGATCATCAGAGGCTCCAGGTAAACCTGCTCATGCTCTTCCTGTAGGTCATATCAGGCTCTGAGTGGGGCAACCTGCTGCTCTGGGCAGGAAAGACCATCCAGGTGGAGATTTGTCGTAAAGAGGGCCGAAGCTGCCACAATGGGACCGTCCAACCATTCTCCTTTGTGGACGGGATGCTGATGACGGCCGGCGCTGATGGGTTCATCCGAGTAAGACGGACCTCAAACACAATGAAAACTAAGTCTGTTTTTTTCTATCACTCATCTCTCGCTCCAGGTCTGGAACCTGGACAGGATTTGCCCGACCAGCATCAACAGTGACAGCTGCAGGTTTCAGCTGGAGCCCATCCACGAGATGCTGGTCGGACACAACGTTTGTCTTTCGTCTGTGGTCAGGAGCCCGCTGTCCGACTCCTTCATCTGGTTCGCTCAGGTCAGAAACCCAAAAGAACAAAGACCTCCACCTGAAACTGATTTAACCAGGCTAGTCTGATCCTTCTGCTGGTCTGCAGGACGCCAACGGAGCCATCTGGAAACTGGACCTGTCTTTCTTAAACACGGTGAGGTTCTTCCTTCGTGACTTGGAGTTTATAGAAACTCAAGTTGAGTGAAAATGTGGTGGGAGTGCATCAAGGATCGGCTCTGAGCCCCTTCTTGTTTGCTCTGGTGATGGACCGACTAACAGATGAGGTCAGGCAGGAATCCCCGTGGACTATGATGTTTACAGATGACATTGTGATCTGTGGTGAGAACAGGGAACAGGTGGAAGAGAACTTGGAGAGGTGGAGGTATGCACTTGAAAGAAGAGGAATGAAAGTCAGCCTTAGTAAGACAGAGTCCATGTGTGTGAATGAGAGGGAGGAGGTGGAACAACTGGGAGATAAAGTTAGAGAGGACACACTGAGATGGTTTGGACATGTCCAGAGAAGGGACAGTGGTTGGGACATGTCCAGAGGAGAGACAGTGGTTGGGACATGTCCAGAGGAGGGACAGTGGTTGGGACATGTCCAGAGGAGGGACAGTAGTTTGGACATGTCCAGAGGAGGGACAGTAGTTTGGACATGTCCAGAGGAGGGACAGTGGTTTGGACATGTCCAGAGAAGGGACAGTGGTTTGGACATGTCCAGAGGAGGGACAGTGATTTGGACATGTCCAGAGGAGGGACAGTGGTTTGGACATGTCCAGAGGAGAAACAGTGGTTGGGACGTGTCCAGAGGAGAAACAGTGGTTGGGACGTGTCCAGAGAAGGGACAGTGGTTGGGACATGTCTAGAGGAGAGACAGTGGTTGGGACATGTCCAGAGGAGGGACAGTAGTTTGGACATGTCCAGAGGAGGGACAGTGATTTGGACATGTCCAGAGAAGGGACAGTGGTTTGGACATGTCCAGAGGAGGGACAGTGATTTGGACATGTCCAGAGGAGGGACAGTGGTTTTGACATGTCCAGAGGAGAAACAGTGGTTGGGACGTGTCCAGAGGAGAAACAGTGGTTGGGACGTGTCCAGAGAAGGGACAGTGGTTGGGACATGTCTAGAGGAGAGACAGTGGTTGGGACATGTCCAGAGGAGGGACAGTGGTTTGGACATGTCCAGAGGAGGGACAGTAGTTTGGACATGTCCAGAGGAGGGACAGTGATTTGGATATGTCCAGAGAAGGGACAGTGGTTTGGACATGTCCAGAGGAGGGACAGTGGTTTGGACATGTCCAGAGGAGAAACAGTGGTTGGGACGTTTCCAGAGAAGGGACAGTGGTTGGGACATGTCCAGAGGAGGGACAGTGGTTGGGACGTGTCCAGAGGAGGGACAGTGGTCAGGACGTGTCCAGAGGAGGGACAGTGGTTGGGACATGTCCAGAGGAGGGACAGTGGTTGGGACATGTCCAGAGGAAGGACAGTGGTTGGGACAT